CACACTTAGGAGTCTGAATGCAGATAGAAGCATACTATTTGCTCTACTTTTACTGTGTTGTTTTATTGCTTCATTCTTGTGGTTCATCCCATTAGTTCTAATTCTTCTTTACATCATGACTAATGTGAAAATATGTTTAATATGAATGTGTAAGTAGAGCCCATATCAGATTACATGCCTTCTTGGGGAGGGGTAAAGAAAGGGAGGGAGAGAAAATTTAAAACCTAAAATCTTATGGAAGTGGATGCTGAAAACTAAAATAAATAAATTAATTATTAAAAAAAAAAAGAAAACCAATAAGAGGAAAACTTTATCTATGCAAAAAAAGAGAAGCATAAAAATGTAAACAGGAAAGGGAAATCATAAGGGACTTAATAAGGTTAAACTGTTTACATTCCTCCATGGAAAGATGATACTTGTAACTCATAAGAACTTTCTCATTATTGGGGCAGTTAGAAGGAGTATATATAGACAAAGGGCACAGGTGTGAATTGAATATGAAAGGATGATATCTAAAAAAATAAAATTAAGGGATGAGAGAAGAATGTACTAGGAGAAAGGGAAAGGGAGAGGTAGAATGGGATAAATCATCTCACATAAAATAGTCAAGAAAAAAGCTTTTACAGTGGAGGGGAATAGGGGGAAGGAGAGGGGGAGTGAGTGAACTTTACTCTCATTAGAATTGGCTCCAAGAGGGAATAACTTACACACTCAATTGGGTATCAAAATCCATCTTACCCTACAGGCAAGTAGGAGGGGAATGGGTCAAGAGAAGGGGGGGTAATATAAGGGAGGGAAGTATGGGGGAGGGTGGGTAGTCAGAAGCAAAACACTTTTGAGGAGAGACAGGGTGAAAGGACAGGGAGGATAGAATAAATGTGGGGGAATAGGATGGAGGGAAATACAGTTAGCAATAGTAACTATGAAAAAAATTTTGAAGCAAGTTTCTCTGATAAAGGCCTCATTTCTTAGACATATAGAAAACGGATTCAAATTTATAAAAATAAGAGCCATTCCCCAATTGATAAATAATCAAAAGATAGGAACAGTTTTCAGGTGAATTAATCAAAGCTATCTATAGCCATATGAAAAAATGCTCTCGCTATTGATTGGAAAAATGCAAATTAAAACAATTCTGAGGTACTACCTCATACCTATTAGATTAGCTAATAAGACAGAAAAGGTAAATGACAAATGTTGGAGGGAATGTGGGAAAAATGAGACATGAATGCACTGTTTGTGGAGTTGTGAACTGATTCAACCGTTCTGTAGAGCAATTTGGAACTATGCTGAAAGGGTTATAAATATCCTTTGCATATCCTTTGACCTAGCAATAACCATTACTAGATCAGTATCCCGAAAGAGATAAAAAACAAAAAGGAAAAGGAGATACACACACACACACACACACACACACACACACACACAATATTTATAGCAGCTCTTTCCTAGTAGCAAAGAATTGGAAATTGAGAGGATGGCCATAAATTGAGGAATGGCTGAACAAATTGTGGAATGTGATTATGATGGAATACTATTGTGCTATAAGAAATGATGAGCAGGATATTCTCAGAAAAACCTGGACTTATATGAGCTGCTGCGAAGTGAAATGTACTGCATGCAAAGTAACAGCAATATTGTAAGATGATCAGCTATGAGTGACTCAGTTATTCTCAGCAGTACAATGATCCAAGACAACTCTGAAGGACTTATGATGAAAAATGCTATCCATCCCCAGAGCAAGAACTGATGGTGTCTGAATATAGATTGAAGCATACTTTTTTACTTTATTTTTCTTGAGGATTTTTTTGGTCTATGTTTTCTTTCACAATGTGACTAATATGGAAATGTTTTGCATGACTCCATATGTATAACATATCTAATTGTTTGCCTTCTCAGTGGGAGGGGTGGGGAGGGAGAAAGCAGAGAATTTGGAACTCAAAGTTTTAAAAATAAATGTTAAAAATTGTTTTTACCCATAACTGGGGAAAAATAAAATATTAAATAAATTCAAAAAATAAAAAAGACTGAGGAAGTCAAGAGAAGGTGATGCTTGAGTTGCATCTTATAGAAATAAAGGAATTCTTTAAAGTAAAAGTGAGGATAAAGTATATTCAGGGCATGAAAGACAGTCAAGTCAGTGAAAAGGCACCAAGATGGAATATACAAACTATTGTGTGTGAAGAACAGAGAAGAAGGCCAATTTGGCTGGAAGAGAGAGTGTGTGAAGGGGAGTAATGTGCAGTGAATCTGGGAAGATAGGTTGGGATCATGTGAGCTTTAAAAGCTAAATAGAAGAGTTTATATGTAACCCTAGAAGAAATAGGGAGCCACTGGAGATTATTGAGGAGGGAAATGATATGGCCAGATCTACCCCATAGGAAAATTATTTTGGCAACTGTATGGAGGATAAACTCAAGTGGGTATAGACTTTAGAATTGATCAATTAGAAGGCTGTTGCAAAAATCTAAGTAAGAGTTGATAAGGGGGGCAGCTAGGTGGCACAGTGGATAGAGCACCAGCCCTGGAGTCAGGAGGACCTGAGTTCAAGTCAGGCCTCAGACACATAACACTCATTAGCTGTATGACTCTGGGCAAGTCACTTAACCCCAATATCCTCACAAAAAAACAAAACAAATAAAAATAAATAAAGGAGGTGCTGAGGGCCTGAACTTAGGAAGTAATCACATATGTAGAGAGAAGGGGTCAGATGTAAGAACAGAAATGACAAAATTTGGCAACTGATTTGATATTTTGTGTGAGAAAAAGTGAGGGGTTGAGATTAATACTGAGATTATGAACCTGGTAGCCAGAAGAATAATGGTATCTTTGACAGAAATAGGGAGGTTTGGAAGTAATGAGATTACTAGAGAAGATAATGAGTTTTATTTTTGGATATGTTGATTTAGAAGATGTCTAATAGGAGTAAAACTCAGGTAAGAGACTGGGGCTGGACATAATTAAATGTCATCAGCCTAGAGATGATCATTTAATTTCTGGGAACTGATAAGGTCACACACAGAGAGAATGTATATGTAGTTATAAGTAGAGAACCTATAATAAAGACTCAGGAATACCCAATTAGGGGGCATAAGATAGATGAAAAACCAGCAAAAGAGAATGAGACGTTAGACAGATAAGAGGAAAATCAGGAGGGAGTAGAAAACCCAGAGAGGAGAGAATATCCAGGAGGTATTCAACAGTGTCAAATACTGTAGATAGGTCAAGAAGAATGAGAACTTTAAAAATGACCATGAGCTTTAGAAATTAAGATATTATTAGTAATTTTGGGTCAAATAGTTTCTCTTGAGTGATGAGGTCAGAATTCAAATTGGAAAGGGTTGTGGAATGAAGGACAGAAGAAGAAATGGAAGCAGAGTATGTAGAAAATTCTTTACATTTTGTTTATTTTCCTTGTATTCATGTATTAATGGCAACTTATATTACATTATGGTTTGTTAGAAATGTGTTTGACATTTTTCTTTTTAATATTTATTAATTATTTCTTTGCGTCCTATAACATGATGAGTTTTTGTAAACATACCTTGTGATACTGAAAAATGTATGTATTCTCTATGGTTCTTATTTGGAAGATTCTGTGTCTTTCCAATAGAAGTCTATTCAAGCTATTTTCCTTTTACTGTTTGCTTTTTCCAGCTTTGAAAACATTAAAGTCTTCTACATTTATTATGTTAATTTCTATAATATTTTAAAATTCAGTTGGATTTTCCTTTATGAGCTTAGGTGAGCTGCAGGTCACAGCAACATAGAACTGTAACTGAAAGGGACCTCAGAGGCAATCTAGTCCGAACCTCTTACTTTATAAATGAGGGAACTATAGTCAATGGAGGTTAAGTAACTTAACTTGCCCAAGATCACATGGGTTTTATAAGAGGTAGAATTTGAACTGAATTCCTCTGACTCCAGATTCAGTGCTCTTAATGCTATTGCTCATTACCTGATAAGCTTATAAGCAGAAAGTTATTTTTATTTTTCTCTGTCTTGACATGATGTTTTTATCTTAATTTAAATCACGAATAAAACTTCTGATTTGGGGGGGACTCAATGCATAGTGTAAAAAAAAGTTTCTAGCCCTTCATTTTTCCTCTGTCTGAATTTTTCTTTTAAATTTTTTTTAGGCAGTTGGGGTTAAGTGACTTGCCCAGGGTCACACAGCTAGTAAGTGTCAAGTGTTTGGTCTGAGGCTGGATTTGAACTCAGGTCCTCCTGACTTCAGGGCTGGTGCTCTGTCCACTGCACTGCCTAGCTGCCCCCTCTGTCTAAATTTTTGAAGAAGTGTTTTTTATATATGGCAAATTGTTAGATTTTATTTTCTTTCATATCTCAGGGAGTTTAATCCATTTACATCTAAGTTTGTAATTTTAAAGTTTGTGCTCTTGTTTATTTAATTCTTTTGTATTGATTTTATTCTATCCCACTTCTGGTTTTTGTTTTTCCTACCTTCTGAGGTTAGTATTTGGTCTCAGTGCTTAATTTTGTTTACATTCATTTGATTCCAGTCTCCTCCCCAACCAGATTCTATTCCCCACCTCTTGTTATATTGGCCTATCCCAGGTTCCTTTTGTTGAAAGAAATTATGATTTTCTCTTTCCTTTTTGGGGGGAAGGGGGTGAGATCCTTCTTTAGCCTCTTTTTTCTCAGTCCAAATAAGAGGACAGATCAGAATCCTGCCAGCTCTTTTATATCCTCTCCACCTCTACCTCAGATACTTAGCTTGAGTAACATTCATTTGTTAGACCCTTTTCTGGGAACTTCTTATTTCACCCTTCATTATTCCCTTCTGCTTATAAGTTCTTAAATCTAGCATCCCATTTATAGTTGGCACTTAAGGTTGAAATTATCATAATCATCTATTATTAGCTGTACTATTCAGCTAAAATCTAAATTACTCTTGTGCAGAGAATGTGATTTCTGAGAAATTGTCTCACTACTGAGCCCTTACAAAGTGTGTTATCTGCCTCTTTGTTCTCTCTGCATAGATTATACTATTCCCAAACCAGATTTGATATCCCATATTGAACAAGGAAAGGAGCCAATCTTCAAGAATCTGGCAAATTTGGAGACAAGTGTGAGAACGAACCAATCTAGCACTGCTGAGCTACGTAACTCTGACAGCACTGAGGAACAGCAGTCTGTCCCTGGTAAGTGGCAAGAGATTAAGACCTTGTGGCAAAACATAAAAAAAAAAAAGCACTTCAGTAAAACTAATCAAGATCTTAAAGAAGTCAGACAGTATCTTCAATGTTCCACACCATTTGCATTGAAGAGGAGGGAAATTTTCTCTATATTTCATTGCCAAGCCTGGTAAATACAATGTTCAATTTCAGGGTTGTTTGTTTTTGTATTTTTTTTCCTTTCCATTTCCATTTTAGTTTTGTGTGTTGTTCTCCTGGTTCTACTGAAGTCCTCTCATGCGCCTCTGTATTCTTTATATCCATCATTTCTTACAGCACTAGAATATTCTATAATATTCATATATCACAGTTTGTTTAGTCATTTCCCCAGTTGATAGGCATTTTTTTTGTCTTTAGTTCTCTACTATTCAATTCAATAAACATTTATTAAGTGCCTACTATGTGTTGGGCACTGTGCTAAGCACTAAGGATACAAATAAGAAAAAGATAGTCCCTGCCCTCAAGGAACTTACAATCTAATGGGGGAAGACAACTCACAAAAGGAGCTGGAAAGTGTCAGGGGTTGGGGGAAGGAGATAGATGTGTCCATCTACGTGTCCATCTATGTGTCCAGGAGGTGCCCAGGATGGGAGCATCTTGTTCTATGGAGTTGAAACCAAACAGAACTGCAGATAGAAAATGGAAAAAAAGGAGATCACAAAAAATGCTGCTTTAAATATTTTGGTGTTTATGGGAACTTTCTTTTTGTCTCTGACCTCCATAGGAGATGTACCTACAAGTTTATTAATGTTCCCTTCCCCTGACAGACCCTCTAGCCATGACTATTTTTATCTTTTTTCATCTTTGCCAATTTGATGGGTATAAAGTGAAACCTTAGAGTAGTCTTGCTTGTTATTTCTTATTATTAATGATTTGGAACAGTCTTTCATTTGACTTTCAATTCTTTTCAGAGCTGTATGTTCATATCCTTTGACAATATATCTGCTGGAGAATGGTTCATGGTCTTACATGTTTGTGTTAATTTCCTATGTATCTTGAATGTTAGATCCTTATCAGAAAGATCTGATACAGAGGTAATTCACCAACTCAAAGAAATGGTAGGACATAGCCTAGGAAAGGAAATCAACCATGGCTTGACTCAAATGTCTCTTCTTTGAGAACTGTAGTCTTGTGGAGGTGGAACCAAGATGGGGGAATACAGGCAACAACTCAGCTCAATTCTTACAACATTTCCCTCCAAATAACTTTAAAATAACTCCTCAAATCAAACTAACAACTTCAACAAAGTTGCAGGATGTAAAATAAACCCACATAAATCAGCATTTCTATGTTACAACAAAGTCCAGCAGCAAGAGATAGGAAGAGAAATTTCATTTAAAATAATTGCAGACTATATGAAATACTTGGGAGTCTACCTGCCAAGACAAACCCAGGAACTATATGAACACAATTATAAAATACTCCATACAAATAAGGTCAGATCTAAACAATTGGAGACAAAGTAATTGCTCATGGGTAGACAAGCCAATATAATAAAAATGGAGGTGGACAACATTTTTCATTGTAAGTTCTTTGGAATTGTCTTGGATCATTGTATTACTGAGAACAGCTAAATCATTCATAGTTGATCACTGTACAATATTGTTGTTACCATATATAATGTTCTCCCAGTTCTGCTCATTTCACTTTGCATCAGTTCATGTAAGTCTTCTCAGGTTTTCTGAAAGCATCCTGCTCATCATTTCTTACAGCATAATAGTATTCCATAACAATCATAGACCACAGCTTGTTCAGCCATTCCCCAATTGATGGTCATCTCCTCAATTTCCAGTTCTTTGCCACCACAAAAAGAACTGCTATAAAACCTTTTTCTTTGATCTCTTTGGGATACAGATCTAGTAGTGATATTGCTGGGTCAAAGGGTATGCACAGTTTGATTACCCTTTGGGTATAATTTCAAATTGTTCTCCAGAATGGTTGGATCAGTTCACAACACCACCAATGTGTGTTGGTGTCCCAATTTTTCCATATCCCCTCCAACATTTGTCATTTTCCTTTTCTGTCATATTAGTTAACCTGAAATGTGAGAGTTGTTTTAATTTGTATTTCTCTGATCAATAGTGATATAGAGCTTTTCTTCATATGACCGTAGATAACTTTGATTTCTTCATCTGCCTATTCATATCCTTTGACTATTTATCAACTAGAATGACTTGTATTCTTATAAATTTGATTCAGTTCTTTATATATTTGAGAAATTAGGTCTTTAACAGAGAAACTTGCTGTAAAATCCCCCCCCCCCACCCCAGTTTTTTACTTTTCTTGTAATCTGGTTGCATTGGTTTTGTTTGTGCAAAATCTTTTTAATTTGATGCAATCAAATTAACCATTTTATGTCCTGTAACACTCTTTTCATAAATTCTTCCCTTCACAAATCAAAACAACTCTGAGGTACCACATCACACCTATCAGATTGGCTAACATGACAAAACAGGAAAATGATAAATGTTGGAGAAAATATGGGAAAATTGGAACATTAATGCATTGTTAGTGGAGTTGTGAACTGATCCAACCATTTTAGAGAGCAATTTGGAACTATGCCCAAAGGGCTATAAAAACGTGTATACCCTTTGACCCAGCAATACCACTTCTAGGGATGTGTCCCAAAGAGATCATAAAAATGGGAAAAGGACCCACATATACAAAAATATTTATAGCAGCTCTTTCTGTGGTGGCAAAGAATTGGAAATTGAGGGGATGCCCATCAATTGGGGAATGACTGAACAAGTTGAGGTATATGAATGTAATGGAATACTATTGTGCTATAAGAAATGATGAGGAAATGGACTTCAGAAAAACCTGGAAAGACTTGTATGGTTTGATGCTGAGTGAAGTGAGCAGAACCAGGAGAACATTGTACATAGTAACAGCCATGTTATGCTATGATTAACTTTGATAGACTTAGCTCTTCTCAGTAATGCAAGGAACTAAGACATCTCCAGAAGTCTCATGATGGAAAATGCTATCCACATCCACAAAGAACTATTGAGTTTGAATGTAGATCAAAGCATACTATTTGCTCTTTTTTTTTATTCTGTTTTATTTTGTTTCTTCTTTCTTGTGGTTCCTCCTATTGGTTCTAATTCTTCTTTACAACATGACTAATGTGAAAATATGTTTAACAGCAATGTATATGTAGAGCCTGTATCAGATTGCATGCTGTCTTGGGGAGAAAATTTAAAACTCAAAAGCTTATGGAAGTGAATGTTGAAAACTAAAATTAAATAAATTAATTTAAAAAATAAATTCTTCCCTTATCCATAAATCTGAGAGGCAAAACATTCCATGAACCCCTAATTTGCTTATGATATCACCCTTTATGTCTAAATCATGTATGTATTTTAACCTTATCTCGATATATAGTGGAAGATGTTGGTTTATACGTAGTTTCTGCCAAACTGCTTTCTAGTTTTCTCAGCAATTTTTTCAAATAGTGAGTTATTTTCCCAAAATCTTGGATCTTTGGGTTTATCAAACATTAGATTACTATGGTCATTTACTACTGTGTATTATGTATCTAGTCCATTCCATTGATCCACCACCCTGTTTCCTAGCCAGTACCAGATTATCTTGATGATAATTGCTTTGTAATATAGTTTGAAATCTGAAACTGCTAGGCTGCCTTCCTTAACATTTTTTTCATTGATTCCCTTGATATTCCTAACCTTTTGTTCTTCCAGATGAATTTTGTTATTAATTTTTCTAACTCTGTAACAGAATTTTTGTATGGCACTGAATTAGTAAATTAATTTTGATAGAATTGTCATTTTTGTTATATTGGCTAGGCCTACCTACAAGCAACTACTTTTTCTCCAATTGTTTAGATCTGACTTAATTTGTGTGAAGCGTTTTATAATTGTGTTCATATATTTCCTGGGTTTGTCTTGGCAGGTAGACTCTCAAGTATTTCATATTGTCTGCAATTATTTTAAATGGAATTTCTCTTCCTATCTCTTGCTGCTGGACTTTGTTTTAATATAGAAATGCTGATTTATGTGGGTTTATTTTGTACCCTGCATCTTTGTTGAAGTTGTTAACTTGATTTGAGGAGTTATTTTAAAGTTGTTCAGAGGGGAATATTATAAGAATTTAGCTGAGTTGTTGCCTATATTCCTCCATCTTGGTTTTACCTCCTCAAGACTACAATTCTTGAAGAAGTGACGTTTGAATTAAGCCATGGTTGATTTCCTTTCCTAGGTTATGTCCTACCATTGCTTGCAGTTGGTGAATTATCCTAGATTAAGCCTAAGGCAGAATACCTTGCCTTGAATCAGTACAACTTGGGAAGCAGACACCAATAGTCCTTTCATTTCTCTCTTCTAAGTTGTTTTTAGTATGGAAATAAAGAAAATCATATTGTGGGCTTGCTTGCCCAAATAGCACAATGAAAGAACTCTTTGAGAAACAGAGCTAAATTCATATCAGAGACTTCCCTCTATGCAGCAGAGAAACATAATTTCTCCTTTCTGAATAATGTTTTTATTTGCACTTATTACAGGAAGCCTTTCCTGAGCCCAGTGGTAGAAATGAGGGATGAATGCAATAACCTGATCTCTGTGTTATATTTCACAAGCCTATGAAAATTAGCACTGATATGGTTTCTGAGGTTTCTGTTACAACCTGTGGTCCAGTCACTGGGTTTATCTGTGGACTCAAGGAATTGGTCTTAAAACCATGTTGGATACAGGGAGATTTCCTATCTTTGTTCTTGCTTTGTTCTTGACTATATTGTCTTCATTCAGCCTAAGTAAGTTTTCTACATCCTATTTATGTTTGGTATGTTACTGAAAAGACTTTGCACAGACCAAAGTTACAGCATTAGGAGGGACACTTAATGGGGGTGGGGGATAGGAAGGTGGAACAATACCTGGATTTTCAAGACAGCCCAGGTCAGAGTTGGATTCCCACTTTTAGTTTCTCATAAGAGATTCCTTGACCCCATTATAGATAAGACATGATTAATAACTGGACCTTTGCTCTTTCTTTCAGGAAACCAGAGAGTGATGCAGCTTAAAGCAAAGAAATGCCATTTTGGTAGTCCTCAAAACCAAGACTTATCTGGATCTTCATCACTTAATGAAGGAAATGTTTTCTGCAGGCCTACCCAAAGAAACACCTTGAGAAACCTGTCCTCCCAAAACAGAGAGCCTTCAATTCCAGAAGCTAATAGTACTAAGGGATTCACTGAGAGGGTGGAAGAGGAACACCCAGGGACCATCAATTGCCAGGAAGCCCCCAATGGACATAGATTCTATCCCTGCCATGTGTGTGGGAAAAGCTTCCAGTACAAAGGTCACTTGGTAAAACACCAAAGGAGCCACTCAGACAACCAATGCCAATGCCCACAGTGCAAGAAGAAATTCAGCAGGCAATCTGACAAGAGACAGAAAGGAAAGAACGAAAAAAAGAGAAGGAACAGAAAAAGAATCTATGAATGCAGTGAGTGTGGCAAGAGCTACTGCTTGAAGAAGAACCTGAATGCCCACCAGCGTAAGCATGGTGGGGAGGATTTCCTTCAGGAATCTGAAAGGAATAAGAACTTCACCCGCCAGGCCAACTTAAAGAGGCTTGAGGGCACACGAAGCAGGAGGAGTGTCTTCACTTGTAGAGAGTGTGGGAAAAGCTTCTGCCAGGAGTCTTACCTGCGAACCCATCTAAGCCTGCATAAGGAGGAAAAGCTGTTTATCTGTGGTGAGTGTAACAAGTGTTTTTCTTATCAGTACAAGTTCATCGAACACATCAGGATCCATACTGGGGAGAAGCCCTTCCAGTGTCCCAAGTGTGGAAAGAACTTCCGCCTGAAGGTCAATCTGAAGATCCATGTGAGCCTGCATAATGGGATCGATCCTTGCCGCTGTAGTGAGTGTAAAAAGACCTTTGCTCACAAAGCAAGCCTCGTCAAACACATCAGAAGACTTCATCGACTGGATAGGCCTTTTAAGTGTCCTGAGTGTGACAAGACCTTCAAAAGGAAGACCACCATGAGACTCCATTATGGCCTACACCAAGGTGAGAGACCATTCCCTTGCACAAAATGTGACAAATGCTTCAGCCAACAAATTAAACTCACTGAACACATGAGGGTCCACACTGGGGAGAAACCTTACCGGTGTTGTGAATGCGGTAAAAAATTTCGATTGAGGAGAATTATGATTGCCCATCAGAGTGAACACAGTGGGATGAAGTCCTTTATCTGTGGGGAGTGTGGCAAAAGATTCCTTATGCAGTACATGCTCACAGAACACTTCAGGGTCCACAGTGGGGAGAAGCCCTTCCAGTGTGGTGAATGTGGTAAGAACTTTACCCGGAGAACCAACTTGAATGCCCACATGCGTATCCATACTGGACAAAAGCCATTCTCCTGTAGCCAGTGTGGCAAATGTTTCCCCCATCAATCTAAGCTCGCTCAGCACCTTCAAGTGCACAACAAGGATAAAACCTTCCAATGTCCTGAATGTGACAAAAGCTTTCGCCAAAATAGAAGTCTGAAGGCCCACATGAGCCACCACAGTGGGGAAAAGCCTTTCACTTGTAAAGAGTGTGGCAAAAGCTTTGCCTTGCAGCATGTCTTCAATGAGCACATCAGAGTTCACAGTGGGGAAAAACCCTTCCAGTGTCCTGAATGTAACAAGTGCTTCTATAGGAAGGCTACCATGAAGGTCCATCAGAACAGACATAAGCAGAAAAAGTCATACCCATGCCCCAAGTGTGAAAAATGTTTTTCCCAGCGTTGTGAACTCACTGAACATGCTAAATCTCACCAAAAAAAGGCCTTCCAGTGTTCTGAGTGTGACAAGAGCTTCTCTCAGGAAAAATCTCTGAAGGTTCATGAGAGTCTGCACAAAGCGGGGAGTACACTTTCCTGTGATGAATGTGGTAAGAATTTCACCCGAAAGTGTGAGCTAAGTAGACACATCAAGATCCATGCTAGGAAGAAGTCCTTCCAGTGTCCTGACTGTAAAAAGAGCTTTGTCCATAAGTCATCTTTGAGGGCACACCACCACATACATAAGAAGGAAAGACCATTTTTATGTTCTGATTGTGGCAAGAGCTTTGCTTATGTGGGTGCATTTAATACCCATAATGCAGCCCATGCTAAGGAGAAAGCCAAGAGTTCCAGGTCAGAGAAGAGTTCCAGATCAGAGAAGAGTTCCAGGTCAGAGAAGAGTTCCAGACCAGAGAAGAGTTCTAGGTCAGAGAAGAGTTCTAGGTCGGAGGTGGTACCCAATAGTGCCAGCTCTTTGAACCAGTGAGCATCATTAGAGTTAATTCTAATTCCCTAACTTGATGGGAAGCTGTATTAGGATGCACACCAGCCAGATGTGTGGATAATTCAGAAGAAATTGAAGGCTGAGTAGATCCAAGAATCTGAGAGACCATGAAGAGTCTTCCTTTTAAAGCCTTACATTGAAGCTTCTCTTTGCCCTTTCCTAAGAATGTCCTTTCATTTGAGTTCACATTGCTCTTATTGACTCCTTTAGTGCCTTCTAAAGGTGTGAACAACCCTATACTCATTGATCCTTTTTTTCCTCCTTTCCTTCTCCAGGGATTTCATAACCTTATACACAGAGAACATACTAAAAAAGACCATGAATGAGGACATGTGAAGGGATTGAAACTCTCCTCTAGCTTGACCTAGTCTCAAATTCCCTTTCCTAGAATTCTTTGATTAAACTTAACAGGATCTTTCCTATGAAGTTAATAATTTCTGTTAGGGTGCAGATAGAGATAGCTTTATTTGTTTAAAAAAAGGGTAATGACTTCATCCTAGTTTTTAGGATAATTATCCTCTTAAGTCTTAATCATTCTCTTCAGAGCTGAATTAAACCTTTCTGCCAGGAAATGACATTGGTGACAAACAGTAGGCTTTATATTTAACCCCACTTTATTTCCATAGGTATTTATCACTTCTGAAAAATCTATTAGGATTACTAAAGAAAATCCCAGATGAAAAAAAATTTAGTAAAACCTTGGCTACTTTTTGTTTCTTTGTGAAGGATAACACTAGTGCTTTTGTATACCTTGTGGCATAAAGTACCATTGCAAGAATTGTTTTGTTTTGTTTTAATGGTAGGTGGGCTTAAGGAACACACCTACTAGGTCAATATACTTTATGGAAAAATTTTTCTAAGAATAGGCAAAGTAGGCTTTAGTTTGGTGTTCACTTTTGAACATTCTCAAAAGATTTAACAACTTTCTGTCACCTGCTGTGTTACCTTAGACCAGGAGAAATTTAGGAACTACCTTCTAATTTTTAATCCCTAGATGATTTATCTATGTGTCTATACAAATATAGATAGATCAATTTCTATACATAGTAAATGATAACCAATTCGACAACCCTTTTACGTACTAAACATTTGCTTCTGGGGTTTCCTAATAACACTTAGGATCACAGAGTTTGAGCTAGAAAAATTTTTCTTAATTTACTGCATTCTAATTACTTGCCCTTTTGAAGTCGACAGTTACTGATAAAGCTAACGAGATTGATGACCAAAGATTATACACAACTCTTCCTTATGAACTTCTTGAAATTTGGTCTCTGTTTTTTATTCCTTAAGGGATAAGTCTCTTCCCCTCCAAGACCCTCCCCCCCAACCCCTGCAAAGTATTTTAAAACACAGTTGAACAGAACTATTTTAAAATTAAGATTTTAATATTGGTACAAAGAAAAAAATAAATAACAGACGCATGAATTTCATTAGGAAGATCAGAAAAGTTATATTTGGACCAAACTAGAAATAGCCTGCAGTCTGCAATCAATAAATATTTATTGAATTCCTGCTGTGTATAAAGGACCACTGGTAGGTAGTGTGAAAATTTTAAAAGAGCTTCTGCCATTGAGTACTTTATAATCTAGTTGGAGAGAGAAAACATATACACATAAAAAACTTGAAGTATACAAAAGTATAAGTAAAGTGTTTAGAAATTATTTACTCTTAGTGTTTGTCATGTAAGAAAGGCAATGGACATAGTGGCAACAGTATTAGATTTAGGAATCAGAAAATTTGGACTTAAATTAAGGAGCAAAATCTAATAATTTGATGTGTATAAGCAACCTACTTGAAACAAATCTTTATACAAAGTTTAAGAAGGTGTTTGTAGTATAATGGTATAGTACTTTCCACAGGATCTTAATAGTAATAAAAAAATCTATCAACAAGCATTCCTGTGACTTGGCTGAAACTAGTTAGATAACAGTAAGGATCTTTGGAAATATCAAAATTCCACTTAGTTGAGTTGCATAAAAAGCAGAGATGAGAATCTGAATTATGAAAAGTTGGGGAAACAGTGTCTAATTCATGTTTCTCTTGCTTACTCATTTGATTTTAGTTGCTTCAGGATTCAACTCTTTTCTGTTTTGGTCAAATAAGGACTTGATGTTGAATGTATTTCTTGGTTATTGAGTGCATCTACTCACTGTACTCTTTTAACATAAAAACTTTTTAATAAATCCATATTGTATGAAGGTCACTTTAAGAAAAATGTCCCTAGTAGAGGACAGATATTGCCTTAAGTCTCTCCATCACGTGTCATTTTGCCCACTGTGTCCCATAAAGGAAAATTTTGTCAGAGTGGTTGGGGCCAAGCTGTTTACTTTTGACATAATTGTACTGCAGTTAATTTGCAGTGTCTCTGAGAACAAATGAGCTGCATTTCCTTGTATGATTTAGTTAGTCCTCTCTTGTTTTATGCTATGGAAGAGATAAGTGCTAAAACTGATTTATCTAAGTGGTGTCTCTTAAGTTTGTGAACTTCTCAAATAACTAATGGAGTGGAATTTTCATTTTGTTGCCTGATTTAGTTAGATTTGAGTAAGTTTCTAAAAATTTAGGAAGCTACTAATCAGGGCTCAAAGGCTCCATTCTCTGCATGTTAAGAGCAAACTAAAATTCAATCCAATTTGATGAACAGATGAGTACCTACAATATAAATATGTAAATAAATATAATAAATATAAATATAAGGAACAATATAGGTAAAAGGAATTATTCCATGCTCTGGAGTGTGTAATTATGACATGGCAAAAATTGAGGTGAAGTCCAAGGGTTAAATCTTGACTCTGTTACTTTGCTACCCATATAACTTTGAGCAAGCTGCCCTGGACCTCAGTTTTTTCACTATGAAATGAGAGGGTCACTTTAGATAAGTGGTCTCAATTTTGGTCTCAAGATCCCTTTATACTCTAGGACCTCCCTCCATCCCCAATAAAAAAGTTTTTGGTTATATGGGTTATATCTGTTGATATGTACTGTAGTAGAAATTAAATTGCCTTAGTATTATTATGAAAATAGTTTTGACCTTGAGAATCTCCTGAAGGAATTTCCAACCTCCAGGATCACTGGACCACAGTTTGAAAAACATTGTTTTAGATGATCTCTAAGTTCCTTCCCAGCTCTGGATCTGTGATCCTATAATTATGCCTTAAAGGAGTTTTTTAAAAAGCCAAAGTGACAATCATTATCTCAGAAAATGCAATTAAAAATAGATTTGATTAAGAGAAACAAAGAAACTACTATGCTTAAAGGCATTATAGATAATTAGTGATATAGCTTCTGAGTATTGAAAGAAAAAAGTAAATGGATTATAAGTCACAGATAGTAAGACAGTAATTGTTGGGGCCTTTCAAATTTAGAGAACTCAAATAAATAAAGAAGAAATTAAAGATGTGAATAAAATTCTTTCAAAAACTAAAAATAATAGGTGTTTAGAGATTAGCGAATGGTAATCTTAAGGAGTGTATCTGTTTTGCAGTGTTACACATTATCTCTGCAAAAACTGATCATGTGATAGGGCATAAGAAACTCATATATAAATGCAGGAAAAACCAAGTAGATGAAGAATGCATATTGTTCAAACTAGTACATGCAGTTAGATGGAAAGCCTATAAACCTTGTCCATCAGTCTGGAATAGAAATCACAGTTGAAAAGGAGACAGAGAACAAGTTGGATTGTTGTTGGGAAACTACAAAGTTTTAATGACCTAAAGCTTCTCCCTGAAGCAGATGCCATCTTCAGGTGATGTTGTAGGGATGAGAGTCATGGACATCTACAATCTTCAAAGAACTAAGTTGAGGATCACTTAAAGTATGGTGGAGAAGAACACAGTGGACATGAGTAGGCTGCAATGTATTAAGAACCAGCAATTACTCAAGGGAAGTGGTTTAACAGGTTTCATCAAAGAAATATCTGATCAGATAAAAGATGAGCCAGTCATATAGCAAGAGGAAGGGACAACCATGGGGTGGATCCATAGGCTCTATTTTGTAGCCATAAAATGGAAAGAGAACACAAGGAAGACCCCCAGCATGTTGGGATCTACTATTGTTGTACAATCAAATCAGTGTTTTATAAGTTTTTCATGCTTCAGTGGTAAAGATGTATGTATGTATGCCTTATATGTGTATGTTCGTTGGTATTAATTTGGTTTGGAGGTTATCGTCTCTTTTTCCAGTAATTTGGTGTAGTCTGAATGGAATCAAAGGACAATGGGTATTTGAATTTCAGCTCGTTGATTTCCATATATGTGCCATATATGTCCATCTGTATGCCTCAGGATCATCATCTGTAAAATGAGGGTGCTGGATTCAATGACTTGTAAGGTCCCTTCAGCCCTGAATTTATGATTCTATGAGTTTAGAAAGAAAGAATTTCATTGAGAGAACTTTCTGGTCATTCTGACTAAAGTAGGAATAAAATATTATTTTCATTTTATTATAGTTAAACATTTATAAAATCTCATATTAGAAAATTTTATCAGACTTTTCTCCTAATGCCTGGTCAACATAATATTAGTTGAGAAGGATTATATAGGCCACTGTATATTTGTGTATCAATATGTGAATTTGTGTGAAAAAATTTTTTCCACATAAGAAATCAAAGGATAGCTGAAGTAGTATTTTCTAAACTTATCTCTATATTTTTCATATTTTAGTTCTTCTATAGGCATGCTTTTGACATTAATTTGTTGGGTCAAAACTTTTAATAGGCTAGAAAATGGTCTTTGGTTTACTAATTAGAGCCATTTCATGTTTTCTAAGCTTATCTCTGTGTTTTGCATTTTAATTTTATTTCTTCTATAGGTAGACATGATTTTATTTGATGTTAATTTGATGGGTCACAAATTTTAATAGGATAGAAAATGGTTTGGTTTACTAATTAGAGCTATCTCATCATTTTGGGAATTGAAACTTATATTAGTGGCATAATGGGACACATTGTCATTGATGAGAGAAGGTCCCCTATGTAGGGG